ACGGATTGCACACCTGGCTATGGAGCCGCTGTCGATCGTGTGCATACGATACACTCATTGTATAGCAGCAGGCCACGCAGCTCCTGCGGGTCGGATAGAGTGCTACGGGATTAGTAGCGAGGGCAGCTAACCGAAATGTTGCCTTGCCTTCGTATAAATTGCCAACCACCATTGATGTGATATAGATAGTTGAGGTTTTTGCGCGGACTACACGTGCTCGAAGCAGTTAAATATTGTCATGAATATTTGACCATTGTCGTATTATGCTGTGCCAAGAACTTAAGCTTCTGTGTCAAAATAATCTTTTGGTGGAGCAATGCATCGCAAGGCTGGTGGAGACTGAGCCAGGAAAGTAGAGGCTGTAAGCTTCTACTCTTTTTCAACAAAACGTTCCCATAATTTCGCGTCAATATTATTGTCACTTAGTCTACGTAGATATAATAGTTGGCCTTTATGGTACCATTCGTTTTTAGTATTAGTATGTTGCGGTAGTAAGCTTTCGCACATCCTGTTCCTATGATGGCCACAGCTGACTCAATTATAGTGATCCGGCATTGCGGTGCATGATAATACCTGGCTGACCTGCAAACAGGACACTGTCCTGGAGTTCCTCTATAAGCTAGCCCTAAGACGTTTTCTCTTCATTTCATTTTGGCCAATGTGCCGAGCCGCTGTTTTTTTTTTTCGTGTGTCAATCGATAAAACAAATCGTCGAGCAGTTTAGTAGCTTCGGCTACCTCACTACTGACTGAACCACTGGTAAGCGATAGCGCTCTTAGCTAAACTTAGCTAGGTGCCGCATGAGAGCATGTCCTAGTGAATCAATAAAGCAATAAAAGCAACACAATACTTTGGACTCGGTATTATTGAGATCTTCATCTGAACTAAGGATCCGTTAATGAAGTTTCGAAAAAATAAATAAAACTGGAATAGTCAAGTATATTAAAAATCTCCACCAGCTCAATGCGGTAAAATTCCATGAAGAATAGGTACGGCATAGTAACAGATTTTAAGTCAAATTATTATTAGCACTAAAGGTAAGCGTACCATAAAGTCATCTCTTGGTTCGAATCAAGCAACAGAAATGTCTTTCTGTCGAAAACAGTATATGCCCTCCAACAGAAACCTTGTAGACTTATTTTCTAGAACAGTTATGGATACATCTCGTGTTGACCTCTTTCGCCAGGTTCGTATGATCGAAGGACACGTTGATTCTGCGCTTAAGGTATACGTAGACTAAGTTGTGAAACACATTGCAGGAACGGAAACAAATCGTAGACCAGACGAACGCTTCGCCGTAGATTGAACACAGGCAAGAATGTCGGTCACAAGGTACATGGAGAAGAAAAATTTAGAAACGAAAATCTCACCCTGAGATCGTTGCTAAAGCAGATATGTGTAGGCCCTCTCAGTCCTGTGGCTGTAGGACCATAGGATCTAGTTTAATACATTCTTCATGCTTTGCAGTTTTAAAGAAGATCTGCATGAAGCAGTAAACTTTAGCAAACTCCATTCCTGACATGTGGTTTTCAAAACGGGGGAGCAGAGTACAATATGATAGACGCAAGAAACTCATACATCAAGAGCGCCAAGCAAACACGTTAGGTATGCTGTATTGAGTGTTACACCGAACCTCCAAGTAATGATTCGTGCCTTATGAAGCCGCTAAATAACAAATATATAACGGAAAATTTGGTTATTTGCCAGTTCGTATGCCTCATAAAAGGGAATATATTCGCGCCTCCCATCTCAGTGGTTCACTCATCTCCCGAAGCAGAACAGATCTGTAAGGACGTTGAGGAAGGAAGCTAAGCCCGGACAAAGTACAGACCAACCCCCCGAGACCAAGAATCTTCTGTGAGGTCGTTAACACACATGCTTCTCTAAGACTGAAAACAATGAAAGGCATCCGCAACCTTTGGGTGGCTGTCTTTCATTGTTTTCAGCCCACCGACCACCAGACCGTAGCCAAACCAATTAACTACAAAGAAAGGTAGCACAAATGACACGGAAGGCTTCGGCAATATCAGCCATGGAGCTCTGCTATTAGCATAAATTCAACAAATATTTAAACCATCATTCTTACAGATAAATTATCCGTAAGCCTGTTCAAGTTGTGAAAGAGTTTCGCAATTAAAATGTAAAGAACGGTGTGTACTTCGAAGAGTTGCAAACTCACATTGTTCTTCGCTAATCCAACTGTTTTATGAGCTCATTTGAGGCTTGGGTAAGCTAGCCATTCCAATCCAACATAATATTAACAGCATTTCATGTTTACAATGAGACATTTCCAGTGAGAATTGTATTTCAATTAAGTTTTGGTTCAATCGTTTTAACTTAGCGTGTATGGCTTGTGTCGTTTGTACGATTTTTTGTTGTGAGCAAAAAATAGCCGTTCGTCGAACTGCATGAGTAGTCGCATTCTATGCAACAAGCAATGCTGACCGCTGGCCAATCAAAGTAGAGAGTGCGCAGCGTCCACATACATTTTCAAAGACGTACGGCTACACGTCCAGCCTTGCATCACCTGTCGTCGACCGCGTGTATACGACTAACTATTGCGTCTACCCGTGCGTGCGCAAGTACAGCCGTCTCGCAAAGCTTTGTGCTGCAATTGTGCATAAATCGTTTCAGCCGCACAGTTACTTGTACCAGCTTCTGAAGCTTTCCCCGTCCACTCGATAACACTACGTCAGTACACCCACACGTAAGCATTTGACGAACGTCAGAGGCCGACTGAGTAATGCTACAGGAATCGAAAGGGTGTATTTCGGAAGAAAGCGGTGATGACAAGAACGAACGAGTGCTTACACAGTGGACAATGCCACTGACTCTTTGTTAGTCATCCTACTTTCTTTTGACTTTCATTCTAGCAGCTGTTCAACGAATGACAGAAAAGCTTATATCATATAGCAAAGGTCTATTCGATTCGTTGTTGCGACAGTTAGCTACCTCGTCGCTTCCGCTAGGACGCGCGGATTGATTGGAGACACTCGAAATACCACGAATCGGATCAGAATACACGGTGTCGGCATCTACCAGACGCAGACAACGATATCGCTTGCTATACTATTTAGATTATATAGAAATCTATTGCAAACAATTTAGGACATACGAATAAGCAAAGGGGAGGGGTTAATACACTCCCGCTGCCCTACTCGACCGTAATATCGTTTGCTAACAGCGTTATTGCTACTGCTACTGAGGCTGCTATCGACCCCAATGCCGACGACAAATGGGCTATAAATGCTATCTCCGCAGCGTTCGCTTCCTGTACGGTCGTTTGAAGTGTTTGCAAAACTTCAAGCGTTATGGCCATTTTCATCAGCCCATTTGTATATGAGCACGATCTGATACGCAGGTATGAGCGTATCGTTAAGGTTGGCCAGCCAGCCAGCCAGTCAGTCAGTCAGTGCGTCAGTTTGGCGCTAGGGGGCCGTCAACGATGACACCGCAGTGACATCAGCGCGACAAGCGGCGAACGGACGGGCCGTCTGACTTCACCGGAAATTTACACTTCGTGCTTCCATGAATATTACTTATGTTCGCATGCATTGATGGTCATCTTGTTCCGAAACAGGGCTAACGGCATTCATATCTGTAATAAGGTTCGAATAGAAGTATTTTACTGCAACAAGTGATCAGCAGAGCGTGGACAGAGGAACGAAACTTGAGGATCAATAATTGCACTACGGTGTTTAGGTGGTTCTAAAAGATTTTCCTGTAGTTAGCACCTAATAAGAGCACACTTTACGTACGATTTACTGACTGTAGTTGCTGTTGCAGTACAAGAGGCATATGTATATTAGCTATTGATCATCGCTAACAACGCCATTAATGGTCGCGGTATGGCCAGCAGCTAATCCTGCGTTCTTTTAAATAAACTGGGTGATTAGTGCAAAATGTGACTCTTAACCAAACTAACTATGCACTAGATACACACAGTGGTAATGCTCGTATTGATAACTTTATTACTACTTTGTATTTGGACTGCATTAAGATCTAAGGAAAAAATAAAAAAACAACGCGCTGCAAGACAGACCCTGGAAGAACCGAATATAAAGTATATAATTGTAAAGTTCATTCGAAATAAAACACAGGCTAATTTCTTTGCTGTAGCTGAAGTCGTGCGGTATCGGAAACCTTGGCAAGTCAAGTCCTCGAGCTTACAACCCGTCAAACTATCAGATATAACTCTTCGAAGAGTTCAGTAATCAAGAGTGTAATGATATTTGCTGTTTGCAGCGCGCTGCGCTTATATTCATAACGTAACCGCTGAAGAAGGACCACCGAGTCTAGACTGAGGACCAAGCTCCAGATTTTGCGGCTAATTAGTCAATCTAAGGCTTTACTCTTTTCTATGCATTGCTATAGAGAATATTTAAACGAATTGCTCAAATCTGGATTTATTGAACACGCCTAGTTTAGCTACTTATTTCTTTTTTATAAATACCTCATTCGCCTACCTTGTCGTGATCGTCCAAGTTAAACAAGGTTTCCTCCCGCCGAGTGAGAACTTTTATACGAGTTATGTTAACACATGTGTTATTTCACCCGCAATGAATCAATAAACGATCAACTGATACGGAGCTAGGCGCTTAGATTCACCAGAGGCTTTTCAAGAGCCTCAGAGATATTTCACCAATTGTTTATATCCACCAGTGCCAGGTGCAGCTCAGACCTTAATCTTCTGCTATTTCTGTATAATCCGAATTGGAGCCGGGTCGAAATGAATTCGTAGAACTCGTCGACCGTGATGTCTTACTTCGCTTACATCGTCGGACAGCACCATAAAGCCAATAATAGCTACTGTCACTTAACGGAATCTTTCAGCTTGCACGAGTCGACGACCATCATCTCACGTCAGTAACGACGCACAGACACACACGCAGGCAGGCAGGCAGGCAGGCAGGCAGGCACGCACGTACGCACGCACACGCACGCACGCACACACACGCTCACACACACACACACATACACACACACACACACGCACACACACACGTATACACCAACACACGTTCGTTATTTGTTCTTCTTTGTTTTCATTCGCTGAAGAAAAAGAAGATCACGGGTAGGAACACGGCGCGTGCGCACTCTTGCAGAAGTTGCCAATTAGTGAATGACACGAAACTTTCGAGCAAAAATCGCACACGTTTTAATACAGTTATTGCAGTTTTTTGCTGGATGAAGTAACAAACAAGATCGAACTAACACTGCCGCAACGATTTACACAGTGTCCATGTCGCAGTTTGGCCAACTGGTAGTATGGTCGCTGCTACCGGTTTCGTTGGCTTTCAACTACGCTGGCCTTTCGTCTTCGCTAGTTCTGAAGATTACTGCATGGACAAAACAGCACGAGCTGAAACATGAGGCTAGCGGCTATCCCGCGCGTTGGATCAGCGGAGCGCCGAGGAGTGGGAGAGGGCTGGACGAGAGGGTCCATCGTCGCTGGCATCGAAATGGAGCCAAGCACAGACAGATACATAGATGGACAGGTAGGTGGATCACAGTGGCATAGATTGACATTAATGATCAACCTACAGAGACGAAAGCGAGCCGAATAGCGGCTTTCGCTATTGAAGATCGCTGAGGGATTGAAAGAATGGCAGGCCACCAAGGCTGATGAAGTAATAGTGAATCGAATATAAAAAAAGGCGGCGAGAAAAATGTATGCAATGCGCCTTTTTCTTTGAGAGCACTCTGAGCCCGTATTTTGACAGAAATATGGGCAGACGATGGGAAGCATGCATTCAATGTACCCTAAATACTAAGCCTCAAGACGTCCTAGTCCAGATATGATCATCATCCCTTCGCTATACAGCGAGGGCTGTGTTAAAGCTAGCATCCGAAAAAGCATAATTTAGAGTTTTTTTTACTTTTCAGAAATACTTGTCTTAATTTTCTATTCCTTTCTATTTTCAAGCAGATCACATGGGACGTCGATCCTTAATACTACCTGATGAAATAAGCAAATAGATCGGTAAAAAATGAAATTTTTTTTTAAAAGCGTTTCTTTGTTGGGTTTTTTCCTTACATAGTTAGAGAATCGGGTTGACGTCCCTTTAACTGAGTGTGATGTTTCCGTAAGAAGATTTATTTTTTTTGTTCTCTGAATATCTAATGATTTCCTGGCAGTTGCCAAGGTAATCAATTCAACTTTAATGCGGTTGAAAATAGCAAACCTAAAACCCCAAAAAGCTTATATACTAGAGTTCACATAAGAATTTAAAAATGTGGCGTTTCAAGATAGGGGATAACCAAAACGGTGTATGCATAAACCTAATTAACAGTCGTCAAGGATTTTTGAGATCGGTCTGACTGATAGTACATACATTTGCGCGGGCATTTTCGAATAATACGCTGTTTTTTTTTGAAAGGACAGCCAAGCATTGCCAACGGATCTATACCCATTTCAAGAGAAAGGCGATTTAATTCAACAGTAACTAGAAGCTGATTGATGAGCGCGACCGGTTAAGCGATTTTTGGGGAGAAATACTTTCTAAGGGTCTACTATGCTACTCGGGTATTCGGCTAGGTGAGTCCGGCCGCATAAACACAAGAGGCTGGTGGGTCACAATATCCGTTATATGCTCGGTAAGGCTAAAAATGACGAAACGCAAATCCGAGGCCTGTAGGAAGAAGTTCAATTAAACCAAGGAACTGCATAAGGGCACGAAAAGTGGCCGCTTTTGAGATGATTTAAGTTATCCATGAAAATAAGATGTTAAGGGATAGTTTCACTATTACATGCTACAACAAATTTGCTTCTTATATCGCTCCTTAGAATTAGAGTATACGATTAAAATGAATTAATTAAGTACTAAAGTAACTAACGTACATTTTTTGACCGAGAATAACGAACGTATTGAAAAATTAGTCAAGTCTGCTAAAAGCAGACGATTACTTACAATATCGTGACAAAATTCATGATTCTTTTGTTTATTCTATCCGCTGTTAAACTATGACATGAATCAGTTGTAAACAAACAAAAGTTCATAATAACTTCCTAATTTTCGAATTTAATCAATATTTCACTCCGTGCATAGCATTATATAGACGATGCAACAATTCCAGAATTGGAAGGTAGGAATTTTATTAGGGTTATGTTTAAGCGATCTTGTTTCATATAATTTTTCTCTGATTGTAGTGTAACACAAGTGTCTCGCTTATAATATAAAATGATGCTTCGTTTGTCGTTATTATCACCCTTCATTTGGTACTTAAAAGTCGCAGTTCGATAAAGTACCAACGGTTCATGATGTTGTTACCTGTAATCTTTTAGAATTTGATCGTTAGAGAAGGTGTTGGTGCTAAAAGATTAAGAACAACTAGGAGCTATATCCTATATATCCCTGTCGTTGAAAACCTAAGCTGGACACTTCCTTTCAGCACGACGTAATGCTGTTCGGTACTGTTGGCGCACGTGAACAGAATACGTGATCCTATACCCACTATCATTTCGCCAGGTCTACCGTTGGAAAGTTTCCAATAAGCCGTATCGTTCTACAAGGAGCAAGAGCAGTTCGAAAAATATATACAAACTTAAAAAAGGACTATCGACCCTTTCCTTGTATTCGATAAAGATGAATAAAATTAAAAGAATGCAACTGGAAGAAAAAAAGCTAGAATGAAAAAGCCTTCTTAACGTATAATCACATATCCCCATAAAAATACAATCGGTACCACGCTTGTCTAATAAACTTGAAAATATGCGATGGTCCAGGGTTGAAATCGGACCGTAGACGCACCCCGTTACATTTTGGTAGGGGTCAGCGATCTCAAGCAATGCCCAAATATAGTACCAGACTCGAGATATGGATTAACTATATAATAACTTTCCTATGCAAACTGTTTCAGCCACTTTCTACAATAAGCTTCTTACTATGTGAGTAACCTCATTCTAACGATATTCATATTAAAAGGACACCAAATAACCTGCGTCCACCAATTTAATAACGTACAATTACCGCGCATACAACTTACTACCACACAAATTGATACATGTAGTGTTATTCAGTTGGTTGAAGTTTCGGTCTAGTAAGTTAGAATGTAATGCGTGCTTCAAATCATCAACGACAGCAGGCTGCGCGAAAGTGGGGTGTTCTTGATTTTTGATCACATTTCGTAGGTACAATGCAGCCTATGATCACATCGGGTTCAAATACATTTTGCTTTCCCCTGAAAAGCAAGCCGCATGAAATTATAGAAGGTAATAATAGTACCGTCAATAGAATATATTCAGCAATGTCCGTGTAGAAATTAACCTTTGCGCAATGAAGCGTATACAAAGAGTTACTCCTATGATCTTGTTCTACTGGCAATGTATACGGTGAACCTTCCCTATGTATCTCTCCCATATCCTATGAATTGGAACAGGTTGTATAGAGGATATAAGCGTACTTTTTGAATATAATATTTGTTGTACTAAAAAAACTCACTCTCTCCCGGCAAACTTTTTGTTTATTGAAACATATATAGGTTAACTAATTTCTAGGTATTTTCCAACGGGAAGTTCCTCAGTAATAGTAAATGTATATGGCGGCGATGTGGAATATATCTACCAGATGCACTTATTTAGGCGATGTTTGAGTAAGTCCAAAAAGCCGTGGGACGACCACGGTCCAGCTAAATATCTTCTTCTGCATATTCTGAATAGATAAAAAGGTAGCGCGTTCTTGAGTACACCATAGAAAGTAAGTTATATTCAGTAGTTTGTCGTGCAAAGCAAAGTCACATTAGGTCTTCAATGATTGTTGTTTTCTTTCCATCTGTGTCTCTTGTATACTGTATTATTCGCTGAGGCTTCGGAGGAGGGACGCCGGTAGCAGCTAGACCGAAGTTGATAGTCACCGCCTGGATATTATCCCGCCCTACTGAAAGAATGTGTTTCTTTGATTAATCTAAAATCGATCTTGATTAATAATTGTACTACGAGTTCTTAAGTTCCGCGCACCCTTGTTCAAGTAGATGACCAGCAGGATATTAGCCCTTATTATCATTTCTCAAAATCCATCTTTCGTCAGAATATGTGCTAGTTGCAGACAAGCGAAGAACTACTCAATGCATAAAACGCCAACAGTTGGCTCTATATGTTATTTAAAAGTTTTAAGTTGATCAGATCACACTAATTTATTCTAGCAATGTAAATAACTTACTATTTTTTTCTTTCTCCATATTAACATTGTTATTATCGCCGTTTTCTTTACGGATATCGCTATCCGCTGGAGCAACCTTGTGGAAAGCAACAGGGTAGTCGTTAGAATTTATTAGGCAAAAGATCTACTGAAATACGTTCAATAGGTTGCTGCTAGAAGATAGTGAAAGGAGACCTACTGCTTATACATATACTTTGTTTTAGGTATTATTATCATGCAAAATTGCCGAAGCGATGGTGTTAATCGCAACCTAAATATCTATTTACGTCTTGCGTCGCATCAAAGGTTTTCGACGAATTCGCCTCTATCGCCTTGTCAGCTCCCTTGGCCGGCGTCGGCTGTTCTTCTTGCATATCAAGGGTAAATCTGTCGAAAGCGCCTTCCTTGTCAGCATTCGAGAAGTCAGTGTTTTCGCTGGGGCTGGTACCGTCGTTCTCAATAGACGCTGTAGCAAACTCAGAAGCAGCATTCTCTTTTAAATGCTTAGGAATATCTGTTACGCTTTCCGTGATAGTCGTTTGTACTGATGGAGGTGTTGTGCTGGGAGAATCTGTATCGGTCGATGATTCTTCAACTTCATTGACTGCGCCGAGTGCAGATCCTGACGAGGACTGCACCATTTCACTAATTTTAGGAACGGTTTGTTGCTGATCTTCACCCACATCCTGGCACACGTCTCATTGAACCCAAACGATGTACCCCAGTACTGAGATGATCTGATTTAGAGAACTTTCTGTACTTGTATTTACCCAGAAGAAAAGGCTATGATAGTACTCGTAGAGATTTGTCCACTAGCCGTATAAAGTCAATCAGTTTCGCTCCGAGCACAGCTCGTGCTTAATTAGTTTACGGTGTTATCTGGATCCGTGAGAAGAGAAACAAATCTGTTCAGTTGATATGGGTGTGATTCTGTTATTATTAACAATGTATAAAATAACGTAGCTCTACAATAATCAAAGTCACCCAGAGAAATTCAATTTGTTTGGAACACCTTCGTTGCGAGCAGCGTCCACAGCGACAAGCCGCGGTATCGTTGCATAGCACAGCCTGAAGCCTTGAAGTAAGCAATTTGGGTCTACAGGGCTGCAGGCGATGTTCAACGCTTTTTGTTTGGCCCGGATTTTCACTGGGGGACTAGAGTGCGCTTGCGAATGGTTTCAGACCTAAACTAGCTTACTCTAATTGAAAATAAGTAGGCTTAGATAATATAATAATTGACGCCAGCATAAAATACTATATAATGCTTTACCTTGTCAAGCCTCACAATGTCCCTTGTAGCTGATAGATTGAGGACCTGCCTGAATCTGTGAAGGTCTTGTCGAGTTTGGCTATCTCTCAGTCGAGCGTTAGTCACCAACGACATTTGGCTCTTAATTTCATCTGTCGTTCGACGTTGAGGCAAGCTGCCTCTGCGCTTAAGCAGGTGCTTTTTAAGTTTGGTTAGATCAGGGAGATCCAGTTCAAGGGTACAGCTGTCTGGATAAGTACATTCATAACCTAGTTTAGGTGAGAGGTATCTACGTTTAAAAAGAACAATAATATGTGTTTACCACGCCGACCTATTTTGTATTGGCACTGATTTCGAAAAGTATAAGTGTTTCACTTGAAATAAATAGACAAATCTCTTTTTTCTCTAGTTTCCATTTTGAGCAAAATATTATTGTCTACGTACTAGTTCTGGGCCGGGTCATCACCACCAGTGACTGGGATCTTTGTTTTTTACCATCTTCTCTCTCCCGGTCAAGCTCGGGAGTGTAATCCGCCCTCTCGACACCCTGAAAACGTGTACAAGGCTCTATCAGCGAATGCGCTGAAATAAGACGGTCATGATTTCATTATATCGATTTCTGTTTCGAGCTTGAATGCAGTGCAGTAAAATCAATTATACACACATTATGCACACATGTACGTCTATACTGTTGTGCTTAAATGAATAATTAACCTTTGACATGAATCTATTGTACTTAAGAACGTGACTGGTTCTATCACTAATTCAGTCATTCTTTCCAACCGCGTTTGCATATTTCTATAGAATCATAAATTAAAGGCAACTTGGCTTATCACCTGTTCTCAGTTTAATGAGAATGTGCTGGAGTACAGCTAAGATAGTTTGCTATGTACCTCGTAGAGACAATTATCTTGCCAAGGTTCATTTTTCATGGCAGACTGTTGCATCGGAGCAGCATTTGAAGGCCTTGGCGTACCCCGAATTCCTCCTACCGTAAGCTCATTTTTAGCCTTTATGATTTCCTGCTCGATATATGACAATGCAACAGTTAAACAAATGGGCAAGCATAGGAATTAGCACCGGCAATAAATATCAGGCTGAAGCGTCTCCATATTTTCAACGTCCTATGCATGACTTGAGTCCCGCTTGGAGCTCTGGAAGGGACCTAAATTCTCGCACGTATAGAAGTAAATAGGCTACCTAGATGGATCGATATGAGAACAAGGGTGAAAGAGGTATTTCTCACATCGGAAATGGTTATCGTCTTCGTCGCGAAATCGTCGTCTCGGGCTTCAAACTCCTCTAGGCTAATATCATGAAGGGCACCCAAGCTTAACAGCGTTGCCTGTTGGGCTTTGCGTTCGTCCTCAAGATTGCTGAAAATTTCTTTAATTTTTGCTTGCACTGTTTCTAGTAGAAGAACTGCACTAGGACAGAACAGGTAGAGAACTCCACAACCGGTCGAACTGTTCCTGCGATGATTCCAAGAAAAGGCTGCACTTACTGCGAGCAAGAACTTTTTCTTCCTTTAGTTAATTAAATATACCTAGGCGTAAATATTACGACATTATTATATAAATAATTAGCTAAGTTAAGCTGTCTGAGTTGTATAACTATATTTCATAAGCGTTATAAGGTTCGAACCAGTGATAGCTGACTTCTATGGCCGTGCCCTTGAAAGTTGTAGCGGGTTCGGACCAGCGTACCAATACAGTCTTATTGTCATATGAATGTGTTAGGTTGTTTAATAGATAATGGTCATTTTTTATGTGACAAAACAGCAGAACCTTGCTGAAATTACACCACTTAATTAATTCACTATACAACGACTACACCCGCCGTCATTCTCTGCAGCATCCTCGCTCGCGTCTCTCCTAACCAGTTCGTTCGTTTCACCCGGCTAGAAATATTCAGATCTGGTATTTGCCCCCTTATTGTCAAATGTATTGTTCTGCATTTTATTTGCGGAAGATTTGAAAAAATGATAATCTATTGTTACTTTCAGATGGAGCTGTGGCTTAACTGCAGTCTCAGGCGTATCGTCCGGAGCTACCCATATTGACACATGTACATCATAACTTGTTACCCTTAATAATTTTATCTGCGAGTCTGCTATTGCGCTGTTGTGTTGGCCGGTACTTGATAACGTGTCGTAAAATTGAGAAAAGCCACGTTTCCTTCTGCGTTCAACTCAGGCAAAAAGCATACTCGCTCTCAATATTTGAGAAAACCGACCCAAAGTAGCTAGCATAGACCCGGTAATTCGCAAGTTAGCTACTGGTTGTCTTCCTTCTAAAGTAACTTTTGATAGGCTTCGTTAATTTTATGTGGCCAGCCCTGGCAAAATGCATTCGCCTTTAAAGATGCCGCCTTTGAGCTTTGCAAACTACACCTAAGAAATGCTCATCATACAACGCGCATCGCAAACGTTTGGGCCTAGTTCGAAAGCCTCCTGGCCTTGGCAGGCGGCGGAAAAGTAGATCTTAAAGATGCACTTTCTTTCGCCGAGTACAGCCATCCTTGAGCATGAACTCAAGACAAAGATCCATCCGCCGCACAAGGAACTTGTGGCTGACCCGTAGGAACGAGCCGTGTGTGGAGCTGAGCCAGCAGGAAAGGAAGAAGGTGTCCGTTACTCATTTGATGAACTAACAGTGCTGTCATGCTTCAGTAGGTGACACGCAGGTAGGTTTCATTTAGAACGTCAGTGCAATCCACTAGGGAATCTGCCCTTTTGGTCGAGTGGAACGGACCGTGCAGTCGATGTCGGTTACTTCTAGACGTGCCGATGGCACTTCGGCTTTGTTTGATACCAGGCGCGTGCTCACTATTACTGCCGTCGTGGTAGAATGATTCTTTTACTTTCAAATTCGTTAATTAGTAGTACGAGCTGATCGAAGCAGACGGCTTGAGCAACCGGGTCGCCTATCCAATGAAAGCGGGCGTGGGACAATTTTTTACCAGGTGTATTGTTTAGTCATTTCAATACGAATTTATAGCGCGGGCCAGGTAGAAAGCCGGAACGGCTAGACGAGATCCGTTAGTATAACTAACGCCACATCTTTAACGACGCGTCAGTGGCTGGTGCAGTTATATACAAGAATATGATTTGTCGTCATAAGTATTTTTTCGAATTGTCCATTGAAACTGAATTGAGGACATTTGAAGATATTCTACGTACTCCCCGAGGTGAACGCTGAGGAGTCGACCGGTGTCGATTTGCGAAGCTTTGAACGCATCCAGTTTGCGTATCGTGTGCAGATACCATTCCTGAACAATATATCTTCCATTATAATCAAACATCATAAGTTTGTTTTCTCGCACAGTTAAATGGCCATAACTGCCGAGCAGTTCGCATGATACAGAGTAATTGTTGTCGATTACGGACACCTCGAACAGTTTTCCAGCAGCTGTAAGGGATTTAAGCGGATGTGAGGTTCGGGCCTGCTAAATGATACGAAATTAGAATTTTCAGTCTGACCTAGAATCTCGAAAACATCAATCGACTCGTTTCCGATACCTATTCAACTATGCAAAGGTCTATAATAGTCCTTAGTGCTATTTTGACATACGTTTACAGTACCTTGTCAAGTTAAAACACTCCGTAGAGAAATATCATGTATAAAAGCCGCAACTAAAAAGCTTTTGGTGCATTTCAATGTAACGTACAAGTCTCCAACTCGACCCCCTTGTCAACAGGCCACAGGGTGCTTCTAATACGCTTCATCCATTCCTGACTCTCACTCTCCGAATTTCCGCTAAGGTAGAGTAAATCCTTGCCTTTGAATCGAATTCCAAATGGATGATTCTTGCTCCTCGACGTACACCGATATACCAGTGTGTCTGTAAAACAGTTTTGTAGCAGACGTGAATGGACGTTTCACGGGCTGAACATCAAACCAAGCTCAATTCAAACCCGTGATGAAAAAATCCAATAATGATGTGATGTAATGTAATGATGATAATAAAAATATAATGACGGTGTTACACTCGCAACACTCAGAACGTTTATAGCTACTTCTGTTTCATCCCATACATTGCGTACTACCAAAGTTCAAAGTGTGTCAGTCACACTTTTCAATCTTGATATTTATTGGCCGATGTAACAATTGTTAAATAGAGTGTTTATCCTATCAGTACACGGGGCCTCGAGAAGACTGATAACGTTCTGCAGGTGCTACGGACGTACTAAAGCCGAAGGTCATTAACTGTAAAATAGATAATAGATAGATAGATAGATAGACAGAATATAACCGTAAAATAGAAAGATAAAATAGATAAATAGCGTACGGTTGCTGGCTATTACGCAGCATGGGATCTGACGCTTAGCTCAACTCCCGGAAGCTCTTCGAGGTAACTGAACTTCTCAATCACCAACGTGCTATTTAATCTTGTAGGAGAACCCAGAAGATGCGGCCACACCGCGGTATCGACTGCAATCACTGTGGTCCTCCGTCTGCTTGGGTGTAGCTTCATCATGGTTTTTCGATCTTGATTAGATGCTCCTTTTAAAAAAGAGAGGATATATTTTTCCTTTTTTGGAAGAAACTGAAGAAGGCGGCCTTGCCTCGTTGAATCGTTTGCGGGATAAGGCCAGGATTAGGACGCCGAGCTCAGTGGAACGATGTCACCTGACCCAACTACTCAGTCAAATTCAACTCGCCCATTTTTTGCATCCCAGGCTATCTAGATAAACTAGTGATTCAAGCTAAACTCGAGACATACACCTACCGTGAATCGCTTTCCTCAGGTAGACGAGGATTAGAAAGCAAAAGTCCAAATTTGATGGCATTAGTGGAAGAAAGAAGCCAGAATGCTTCGTGAAACCGCAAGTACGAGGCCAATGCGTGGCTCGTTTTTACGATGAATTCTTCGAAAGACTCGTTTGAGAGTTGAGGGAGAGCTCTTGTTTGAGCCCTGACTGATGCCTTATCGCAGCATTGCTGCTTATTCTTACATTGCAGTGGACTTCACATGCCCGTTACGAATCAACAATTACAAAATGCCATTTATCTTGAATTGGACCCATTTAGCTAATTTTGCAATAGATTTCCGACAATTATAGCGCAGAATAATTATGAACTACCGTTAGAAATTATTTCCAAGCTAACTCAGTATCGTATTTACGAAAAAGGATGCTTGAGAGCGCTTGGTTAGCTTTGCGTACCAAATGGATATAAACACGCTGTATCGAACCTAGTTGTTTAGGAAATGTTTGGGAAATAAGCGTACTGTAATTACCGTCTTGCAGGACAGACCTGCTGCTCGCACCTGTCTATAACCTGACCTTTATAGCAATGGTCTAATCAGGTTACCGTAATTCTCTTTTGCTAAGAAGTTTTCATGAGTAAAAATATTTTATTCGATAACCTATAAATACCAAGCTTAAGTAAGAATTATCAAGTGTAAAATTTTAGATAATGCCTCACTTTAATTCGAAGTAGGACCCTGTTTGCCTTCGACTTAGCTCTAGTATAGAAGGTCGTTTTTGTTTCTTTATGCGCAACTCACCTTTAGCATCGATAGTCCACATTTTAATGGGTTTAGCCGAACTCTTTTTCTTGCGCACTTCAATCCATGCTTCAATGAAGGTCTCTTTTTTGGTCTTCATTGAATCTTTCTTTACAAGTAAGAGATCGACCCATCGACGGGCCCAACCAGACCATGTTTGGCCGCTACGATCGGACGGAATAAGCTTGACCTGAACATAACCACCGGCCTTTTTGGTCACATCCCCCATTGTTGGAAACGATAGGCCAGAATTAGTCCTGGTCGCATGGATATAACCGATTGATTGCGGCCAGCGAAATCGTAACTCAGGCACCACCGGAAAATACGTATTCTACGCAGACTTATTACACATCGTATAGGATATCATACACGGTCCGTCGATATCGTTCAGCCGTCGCATGAATTGCCTAAGGAAGTGTAGCACAGGTGATACATGCGGGGGAGTATCCTTTCATCAGTGAATGCTTTGACCGTCGCTGAAGAGGCGCTAGCCAGAAAGACCATCTAAGCGCGTCTATCTATAACTAAGCTGCTGCTGATCACAGAGGAATATCACTACGTAATGATATAAGCTGCGAGGATGAAGCATTACGCCCCTGACCAGCTAAAGTCCTTAGGATTAAGAATAGCTGAAAGATAGCAAAGATGATCTATCGTCACTTTGAGCTTAAACATCAACTTGTCTGCGATATGGCGGTCGGCTAGTCGAAATCTTTGGTGATTCTTGAAAGAAATTTCGCAGCCCAGATTAATGGGTTAACGAAAGTGACGAGCTATTTCGTACAACGATGAGTCCAATACTGTCCAGAAAAACTGTGCTTAATCGAGCTATATAATAAGCATCTCGAAGCTAAACTACCGAATGGTTTTGTGGAAGATGGAAAACAGATTATAGACAATGTATCGGACTCACAATTAACGTAATATGAAATAGATATATATTACTACGGCATTCTACCTATGATTCTCTGTTAACGGCTTCAGCGTCTTAAAATCTTGATCGATACTTTTCGATGCAACGATTTCTATGATGATGCCTACCAAAATTATATACCCATAGCAGATTTGTTTCTGACACAGTGGGTCGAATTCCAGTAATACGCCGAACACCGAGCTCTGTTTGGCAGTTGTTGGGGGTCTTCACAATGTAGAAAAGGTTCGCTTTGTTAGTGACACTTAATTAGACGCGAATAATATCTTATTATAATAATAATTATTACTACTACTATTAAAATCCGACATTTTCTAACCCAAGTGTCTCTTTTCGCAAGGCTTTCCGAGATTTTTCTCTGCGAAGCTGTTTTTGCTCAGGTCTTTTCTTCAAGACAGTTCACTATGGCCTCTCGAGATAGTCCATTCAAATGAATCTCGGAAAATGAGTTAGTTCGCCCTTTGCTGAATGGCCCTTCTTAATTGATTAATTTTTATATGAGCTTTTCACTCTGCTAAATACTGACGTTATGTTAGTAAGCAAAATGTTTAACCAGACACCGGGTGACACTCGCTCGTTAAAAAAAATAGAAATGATCCCTTAAATAGCCCTGCAGATTTGATCGTGCATGATGGCTTCGTATTGAAAGATCAATTTTTTTCATAACTACTAGCTTTTCTGTATCATGTCTGTTCTAAACTTCTGCTAGGTAATGGAATTAAACATTTTCTGCTATGCCGTGTCGACTCATGAGCTTATTAATACAGTTAGGCAGGAAATAGACTTCCTGGAATTGTTTGAGGTTTCTATGCCAGCTTTTTAAAGTGGTCGCAGTAGCATTTCTGCCCGGTAGAATCGGTCGTAGATGTTTGATAAATAGACAAAATAAATTTGCTTAGTTAAAAACATGAGGATCGCATGTCAGCTATGATTTCGTGATCTAGCGGTAGAATTGTTCTGTAAAGACGGGTCTGTGTCTAAAGTCGTCATAACATTTGCCGTGGATTTTTTTGTTTGCATAATTTGCGCTTTACGTAACGGCTCATGTCTAAAGCCGCAACGATAACCTTCCACATGGCTATCTATTTCTTGCATGATTTCTTGGGAAACATTTTTCCTTATTTTTCATCGGTGTGAATTAGTTGCTAATTGAGAAATGTCTCCGTACTTTACCTTTGTACGGAGCACGTCATGCTATGACAGATACTATAGTTACCACAGTGTCTACAGAGGCCGGAGGCTGCCCCTCTGTTTCGAGGTGGCCGTCCTCTGTTGTCGTTATACGAACAAATTGCATAGGCAAATACTGGCAGGCTTATTCGAAGCTGATACCAGGAAGGAACTTGTAAGTTAATAATAATAGCCAAACTCTCGCTGTGTCAAGCATTGTCCGTTTCGAAGAAATAAAGCCTCCAACTAGATATTCTACATATAGTAAAATTATCATCCCAGTTGCGTAGATGTCTTCATTTGCTTTGGTTTATTATTATGGAAGCTAGATGGAGTGAACTGCCTGACGGTACGCAATACCTTGAGCTCACTAAAACGAAACTAAGATTAGTAGGAAATCCTGAACACGATGTGCGCAATAAAGCTGAAAGTGTTGCAGTTGAATTATAATAGATTATATAATTGAAACTTATATATATATATATAGCAATGACGAACGGACTGCTTTTGGCGTCCCTTGACCACTGTCAAAGACCAAAGAAACATATCAGTTTGATTGATATGCTTCATTACATTACGCTTAAAATAATAAAATATAGATAAGTGATTTTCAAAAAACTTTCGATCTGAACATTTAACTTAATCAATAAATTGACTACGGGTATTTTAGTTGCGATACGGCCAGGAAACTTCAGTGCTAGAACTGCTTGAATCTGTTATGGACTTTATAATATTTATATACAGCGAATTAATTACATTAAAAAAATTATTATATATGCGGTAGTTTAGCGTAAAAAACAATTCTAAGCCTTCATACAGTAGCCATTTAGCAAGCACTTGACTCTCGTTATATCTATTGGGTTGATGAAAGATTATCAGCTTTCAAGTATTTCTCGCTCAACTTTACGTTACTTACTTGAACGCTGCGGAAATACAAATTTTGGGAAAATACTTCCTGCGAAGAAGTCTTGAACTTAGCCCGGTAAAAAAACTGTTGCATGTCCGACTACTCGTCGTGTTTACTAGATACTTTCGCTATGCCAGCTTCGAAACGACGATGTAAAAATGTGGGCATCACCGTTTTTTGCATCAAGAGGGACCTACCAAGTTGCTTCATGGACATCTATCTCGAAACATATCCTGTCACTGTAAAGTGGTTTTTTTTTTAGGCTTATAGTACGCTTGGCAAAACTCCCTATCATCCATCAGGTTAGGAGATTACCAGAAGCTGATTCAATGCTTCAGTGTGTATGAAACGTGTGCATAACAGGAATGACGTCGTTTAATAACATACTTAAAGCCTCGATACGATGTTTTATATACAAGCACGAAAGAAAAGCCTACGTCACTCACTAATTGATTATAAGTGATCACTAACTTATAATCATTGATGACTGCTATACAAACGTAATGACCTTCAATACAACATACAATAAATATCAATCCGCAGCGCAAATAACACAAAAAGAAAAATGCCAAACAATAGGGCACGTATACTTTCCGTGTACATACGTGTGTGTGTATGTATATATATATATATATATATATATAATGATTACGTGCGCGCTAAAAAGTTTCCTGTAAGGAAGACTCCTATAATCATCACCTTTCTTCTAATGAAAGTATCGACAATGCTTATTCATAGAATGGGCAATTACTCTATGTGGTAAACATCTTGAGTCTGTAGGTAGGCATTTACCATCGCTGAAACGTAGCGTCAACAATTGGAATCAATGCCAGATACATTAAACGTTAAGCAGCCGAGGTTAGTGAATAGAGACGACTACGCTTTATTTCACACCGCTAAAACCACGCTGGCGAAAATTGAAAAGTTACAGCTGGAGGCTCTCTGTTATCCAACACATACGTACCAAGCAGTTTTTCTTTCAAGATCTCGACAACTTCTCAATAGAAGGGTTGTTCAAGTGTCAATTTAAGGTCGGAACTGCTTTTCGAGAGTTCCCAGACTCATACCCTAGATTTCAACAGCAAAAGACCATAAGTAACGCCAGTGCATACTTTTACTGAAAGTAAAAGAACCACTATGCCTGTGAAAAAAAATACTATTTCATACAAAGCGGTAAAATGGAGTAAATTTTTTTTTTTCTAAATTTTAACTTTTTGATAAGTAAATTTATCTTGACCAAAAGTCCACGCTGAACGCCCCATGCCTGGAGAAACCTGTGTTTTAAGTAACAGAAAACTATATATCCTTATAACTCTTAGGCCACGTATGGTACAAATTCCACAATGTGCGTCCTCTCCTAACTCCCGTTCGTAGGACTGGCACGTTTCGCTACCATTATCGCATAGACTGAGTAGAGCTAGTGATTCTGTCGCCATAGGAAATATTTCGACAGGAACGTGTAGGACAGCACAACATACGCCGCCTATATGCTCGACCGAATACTTTCGACGACTGAAGTCCATCTTTGATTCAGGCTATAGAAGATCAGAGATAAATCTTGGTGAAGCAGTATAGACACACATAATTGAATCTGACCACACAGATCGCCAAAGCAACAATTTCGAAACGTTCTTTGCTCAAAGCATAAATATCGCTTTTGTACTGTACAGTTTCCAATAGCGAGTAGCAGCTGATGTTTTATATATTTCACAACGGTTGACGTTTTGCTAGCCATTTAGTACTATTCAGACAGACACCGGTACAATATGGAAAGGCAACGAGCGGAGTGGATCTTGGCAAAAAGCGGACTAGAGCGTGCCCCGGAAAAGGCGGGAGCACTTGGCTTACAGGAAGGAAACGTGTGCGAAAAGACTATTAGCATGGTAGAGGGTGCTAGGTATCTGGATATATACCTAGACAAAGAGTTTTGTACGCCGCTTCATGTTAGAACGGTATGGCAAAAGCTAGTACGGCAACGAATGCTACAGCAAGGATTCTTCCCCATACATATGGACTAAGGAATCCGAGTCGCTAGTGCTCATCGGCTCGTTTGATTTGGATCGCCTACAGGCCTAGCGCAAGGCAAAACGAACGTACTGTGAGTTTTCCAAGCATCTTGAACAGCCAATATGTCTTGCTTGGAACATCCTCGTCGGCCACAAGCTTGAAGAAAATAACTGACTATGGAATAGCGGTTCTCAAAGCTTCAGGCACACTGAACGTAAGGCAACCGTGTAAAACGATTTTAAATAATGAACAAAATCTAAGTGATTGGTTGATTACGACTGTAGGACAGGGAGACAGCTTTGTAACATGACGAGGTTACCAATTGATAAGAAGTACGTAACCAGACGATTGTTGCCTACTCTGAAAGCTCTACGTTTTAGCTCACACATGTTATATATATTACTCATCGAAATACTGTCAAGCGTCGCTCAGCTTCTACCATAATGCTTACCAAAGATTCCTCAAAGGACTGCGGCAGGAT